TTGCGACCTTGTAGCAGAGAGTGATTGCGACCTTGTAGCAGAGAGTGATTGCGACCTTGTAGCAGAGAGTGATTGCGACCTTGTAGCAGAGAGTGATTGCGACCTTGTAGCAGAGAGTGGTTGCGACCTTGTAGCAGAGAGTGATTGCGACCTTGTAGCAGAGAGTGGTTGCGACCTTGTAGCAGAGAGTGATTGCGACCTTGTAGCAGAGAGTGGTTGCGACCTTGTAGCAGAGAGTGATTGCGACCTTGTAGCAGAGAGTGATTGCGACCTTGTAGCAGAGAGTGATTGCGACCTTGTAGCAGAGAGTGATTGCGACCTTGTAGCACAGAGTGGTTGCGACCTTGTGGCAGAGAGTGATTGCGACCTTGTAGCAGAGAGTGATTGCGACCTTGTAGCAGAGAGTGATTGCGACCTTGTAGCAGAGAGTGATTGCGACCTTGTAGCAGAGAGTGATTGCGACCTTGTAGCAGAGAGTGATTGCGACCTTGTAGCAGAGAGTGATTGCGACCTTGTAGCAGAGAGTGATTGCGACCTTGTAGCAGAGAGTGATTGCGACCTTGTAGCAGAGAGTGATTGCGACCTTGTAGCAGAGAGTGATTGCGACCTTGTAGCAGAGAGTGATTGCGACCTTGTAGCAGAGAGTGATTGCGACCTTGTAGCAGAGAGTGGTTGCGACCTTGTAGCAGAGAGTGATTGCGACCTTGTAGCAGAGAGTGATTGCGACCTTGTAGCAGAGAGTGATTGCGACCTTGTAGCAGAGAGTGGTTGCGACCTTGTAGCAGAGAGTGATTGCGACCTTGTAGCAGAGAGTGATTGCGACCTTGTAGCAGAGAGTGATTGCGACCTTGTAGCAGAGAGTGATTGCGACCTTGTAGCAGAGAGTGGTTGCGACCTTGTAGCAGAGAGTGATTGCGACCTTGTAGCAGAGAGTGGTTGCGACCTTGTAGCAGAGAGTGATTGCGACCTTGTAGCAGAGAGTGATTGCGACCTTGTAGCAGAGAGTGATTGCGACCTTGTAGCAGAGAGTGGTTGCGACCTTGTAGCAGAGAGTGATTGCGACCTTGTAGCAGAGAGTGATTGCGACCTTGTAGCAGAGAGTGATTGCGACCTTGTAGCAGAGAGTGATTGCGACCTTGTAGCAGAGAGTGGTTGCGACCTTGTAGCAGAGAGTGATTGCGACCTTGTAGCAGAGAGTGATTGCGACCTTGTAGCAGAGAGTGATTGCGACCTTGTGGCAGAGAGTGATTGCGACCTTGTAGCAGAGAGTGATTGCGACCTTGTAGCAGAGAGTGATTGCGACCTTGTAGCAGAGAGTGATTGCGACCTTGTAGCAGAGAGTGGTTGCGACCTTGTAGCAGAGAGTGATTGCGACCTTGTAGCAGAGAGTGATTGCGACCTTGTGGCAGAGAGTGATTGCGACCTTGTAGCAGAGAGTGATTGCGACCTTGTAGCAGAGAGTGGTTGCGACCTTGTAGCAGAGAGTGATTGCGACCTTGTAGCAGAGAGTGGTTGCGACCTTGTAGCAGAGAGTGATTGCGACCTTGTAGCAGAGAGTGATTGCGACCTTGTAGCAGAGAGTGGTTGCGACCTTGTAGCAGAGAGTGATTGCGACCTTGTAGCAGAGAGTGGTTGCGACCTTGTAGCAGAGAGTGATTGCGACCTTGTAGCAGAGAGTGATTGCGACCTTGTAGCAGAGAGTGATTGCGACCTTGTAGCAGAGAGTGATTGCGACCTTGTAGCAGAGAGTGGTTGCGACCTTGTAGCAGAGAGTGATTGCGACCTTGTAGCAGAGAGTGATTGCGACCTTGTAGCAGAGAGTGATTGCGACCTTGTAGCAGAGAGTGATTGCGACCTTGTAGCAGAGAGTGGTTGCGACCTTGTAGCAGAGAGTGATTGCGACCTTGTAGCAGAGAGTGGTTGCGACCTTGTAGCAGAGAGTGATTGCGACCTTGTAGCAGAGAGTGATTGCGACCTTGTAGCAGAGAGTGATTGCGACCTTGTAGCAGAGAGTGATTGCGACCTTGTAGCAGAGAGTGGTTGCGACCTTGTAGCAGAGAGTGATTGCGACCTTGTAGCAGAGAGTGATTGCGACCTTGTAGCAGAGAGTGATTGCGACCTTGTAGCAGAGAGTGATTGCGACCTTGTAGCAGAGAGTGATTGCGACCTTGTGGCAGAGAGTGATTGCGACCTTGTGGCAGAGAGTGATTGCGACCTTGTAGCAGAGAGTGATTGCGACCTTGTAGCAGAGAGTGATTGCGACCTTGTAGCAGAGAGTGATTGCGACCTTGTAGCAGAGAGTGATTGCGACCTTGTAGCAGAGAGTGATTGCGACCTTGTGGCAGAGAGTGATTGCGACCTTGTAGCAGAGAGTGATTGCGACCTTGTAGCAGAGAGTGGTTGCGACCTTGTAGCAGAGAGTGATTGCGACCTTGTAGCAGAGAGTGATTGCGACCTTGTGGCAGAGAGTGATTGCGACCTTGTAGCAGAGAGTGATTGCGACCTTGTGGCAGAGAGTGATTGCGACCTTGTAGCAGAGAGTGATTGCGACCTTGTAGCAGAGAGTGATTGCGACCTTGTAGCAGAGAGTGATTGCGACCTTGTAGCAGAGAGTGATTGCGACCTTGTAGCAGAGAGTGATTGCGACCTTGTAGCAGAGAGTGATTGCGACCTTGTAGCAGAGAGTGATTGCGACCTTGTAGCAGAGAGTGATTGCGACCTTGTAGCAGAGAGTGATTGCGACCTTGTAGCAGAGAGTGATTGCGACCTTGTGGCAGAGAGTGATTGCGACCTTGTAGCAGAGAGTGATTGCGACCTTGTAGCAGAGAGTGATTGCGACCTTGTAGCAGAGAGTGATTGCGACCTTGTAGCAGAGAGTGATTGCGACCTTGTAGCAGAGAGTAATTGCGACCTTGTAGCAGAGAGTGATTGCGACCTTGTAGCAGAGAGTGATTGCGACCTTGTGGCAGAGAGTGATTGCGACCTTGTGGCAGAGAGTGATTGCGACCTTGTAGCAGAGAGTGATTGCGACCTTGTAGCAGAGAGTGATTGCGACCTTGTAGCAGAGAGTGATTGCGACCTTGTAGCAGAGAGTGATTGCGACCTTGTAGCAGAGAGTGATTGCGACCTTGTAGCAGAGAGTGATTGCGACCTTGTAGCAGAGAGTGATTGCGACCTTGTAGCAGAGAGTGATTGCGACCTTGTAGCAGAGAGTGATTGCGACCTTGTAGCAGAGAGTGATTGCGACCTTGTAGCAGAGAGTGATTGCGACCTTGTAGCAGAGAGTGATTGCGACCTTGTAGCAGAGAGTGATTGCGACCTTGTAGCAGAGAGTGATTGCGACCTTGTAGCAGAGAGTGATTGCGACCTTGTAGCAGAGAGTGGTTGCGACCTTGTAGCAGAGAGTGATTGCGACCTTGTAGCAGAGAGTGATTGCGACCTTGTAGCAGAGAGTGATTGCGACCTTGTAGCAGAGAGTGATTGCGACCTTGTAGCAGAGAGTGATTGCGACCTTGTAGCAGAGAGTGATTGCGACCTTGTAGCAGAGAGTGATTGCGACCTTGTAGCAGAGAGTGATTGCGACCTTGTAGCAGAGAGTGATTGCGACCTTGTAGCAGAGAGTGATTGCGACCTTGTAGCACAGAGTGGTTGCGACCTTGTGGCAGAGAGTGATTGCGACCTTGTAGCAGAGAGTGATTGCGACCTTGTAGCAGAGAGTGATTGCGACCTTGTAGCAGAGAGTGATTGCGACCTTGTAGCAGAGAGTGATTGCGACCTTGTAGCAGAGAGTGATTGCGACCTTGTAGCAGAGAGTGATTGCGACCTTGTAGCAGAGAGTGATTGCGACCTTGTAGCAGAGTGATTGCGACCTTGTAGCAGAGAGTGATTGCGACCTTGTAGCAGAGAGTAATTGCGACCTTGTGGCAGAGTGATTGCGACCTTGTGGCAGAGAGTGATTGCGACCTTGTGGCAGAGAGTGATTGCGACCTTGTAGCAGAGAGTGATTGCGACCTTGTAGCAGAGAGTGGTTGCGACCTTGTAGCAGAGAGTGATTGCGACCTTGTAGCAGAGAGTGATTGCGACCTTGTAGCAGAGAGTGATTGCGACCTTGTAGCAGAGAGTGATTGCGACCTTGTAGCAGAGAGTGATTGCGACCTTGTAGCAGAGAGTGATTGCGACCTTGTAGCAGAGAGTGATTGCGACCTTGTAGCAGAGAGTGATTGCGACCTTGTAGCAGAGAGTGATTGCGACCTTGTAGCAGAGAGTGATTGCGACCTTGTAGCAGAGAGTGATTGCGACCTTGTAGCAGAGAGTGATTGCGACCTTGTAGCAGAGAGTGATTGCGACCTTGTAGCAGAGAGTGATTGCGACCTTGTAGCAGAGAGTGATTGCGACCTTGTAGCAGAGAGTGATTGCGACCTTGTAGCAGAGAGTGATTGCGACCTTGTAGCAGAGAGTGATTGCGACCTTGTAGCAGAGAGTGATTGCGACCTTGTAGCAGAGAGTGATTGCGACCTTGTAGCAGAGAGTGATTGCGACCTTGTAGCAGAGAGTGATTGCGACCTTGTAGCAGAGAGTGATTGCGACCTTGTAGCAGAGAGTGATTGCGACCTTGTAGCAGAGAGTGATTGCGACCTTGTAGCAGAGAGTGATTGCGACCTTGTAGCAGAGAGTGATTGCGACCTTGTAGCAGAGAGTGATTGCGACCTTGTAGCAGAGAGTGATTGCGACCTTGTAGCAGAGAGTGATTGCGACCTTGTGGCAGAGAGTGATTGCGACCTTGTGGCAGAGAGTGATTGCGACCTTGTGGCAGCGAGTGATTGCGACCTTGTAGCAGAGAGTGATTGCGACCTTGTAGCAGAGAGTGATTGCGACCTTGTAGCAGAGGGTGATTGCCACCTTGTAGCAGCAGCCTGACACAGCGTGAATGCCAGCCCACCCATTGCCTCTCCTCCCTCTTCTCTTTTACCCCGTACCTCATGCGTGTCTGACCCGTGCAGGCACCATCGAGCATCTGGCAGCAGCAGGGCACAGAGTCATTGCCGTTGACTTGCCAGGTGAGTTGACTGGCGTTGACCTGCCAGGTGAGTTGACTGGCGTTGACTTGCCAGGTGAGTTGACTGGCGTTGACTTGCCAGGTGAGTTGACTGGCGTTGACTTGCCATGTGAGTTGACTGCTGTTGACTTGCGCTCGTCGTCGTTGGCTGGATTTGACTAGTGTTGACTATGCCTTCTGGTGCTGCTTACATGCCCCCAATGCCCCATGCCCCCACGCCCCCATGCTCGTTTGCTCATACGCTCGTATGCCCACACCAGGCGGCAAGGGCCGCACCAAGGACACTCTCTCCACGCGAGCAGCGCACGAGGGCTTTATTGCTGTGGTGAGTACGTGGGTGGATGTATGGTGTGTGTATAAATGTGTGTAGATGTGTGCAGTGTGCCCACCCCCCTTTCGCCATCACACAGGGGAGAGGGGATGGGAGGGGGACGAGGAGAGGGAGGAGCAGGAGGAGTAGAGGCAGCGGCAACAAGGTTGAGGAGGAGTGGATGGAAGAAGTGGAAGAAGAAAAAAAAAGTAAGAAGAGGAGAGAAGAAAAAGAACAGTGAAGGCAGAATGGGAGGAAAAGATAGAGAAGTTTGAATGCAAGGGTAGAACAGGTTGGTTCCCGAAACAAAGTGGAGGGAAACTGTGTCATAACAAGAGCGAGCTCGTGTCAGGTGCGCATCCTTTCAGAAGTGAGATCATCTGCGGGGTTTATGCAGGCACGAGAATAAGAAGAAAGAAAAAAACGTTTTTTTCTGGGGAAAGTAGGGGGCACTTCGGAAACTACGAGGTGGAGGGATGCTTGGCAGGGTAAGCGTCCGAACTTGCACATTTCCTGCTGGGCCATGATTTCCCGTTAACTCTCAAGTACATCACACGCAAGCAATTTATGTTCGCTCTTGATAGTTGGGTGTGAAATGGAAAAATTCTGCAGAGTGGCATGCATTTGTGATATATATTTCAGTTTTGTAAACAACATGAAAGGCAACGATAGTTTCTATACAAATGACACATTAATACAAAGTATCATCCTCTTTCATAGCCTCCATACCATCGGTACATTGTTTCTTCTTACGGTACAAAAGAGAATGAACAATAGAACTACCCCAGTCCCATATCCCCCACACTACGTCCTCCACTAGACTCTTTTCGTACTTATAAAAATCTTGAAATCATGGCATGTCACTCTGCAGATTTTTTCGATTTTCACAACCACCTAGTCAACATCGCACATAAATTGCTTACGTGTGATGTACTTGAGAGCTAACGGGAAGTCATGGCCCAGCAGGAGATGTGCAAGTTCGGACGCTTGTCCTACCAAACCCCCCTCCACCTCGTAGTTTTCGAAGTCCCCCCTCATTTTTCCAGAAAAATCGTTTTTTTTCTTCTTCTTCTTACCCTCGTGCCTGCATAAACCTCACAGGCGATCTCACTTCCGAAAGGCTGCACACCTGGCACGAGCTCGCTCTTGTCATGACCCAGTTTCCCTCCACTTTGTTTCGGGAACCAACCTGTTCTACCCTTGTATTCAAACTTCTCTATCTTTTCCTCCCAGTCTGCTTTTACTGTTTCTTTTATCTCTCCTCTTCCTACTTTTTTTTTCTCTTCCACTTCTTCCACTCCTCCTCAACCTTGTTGCCCCTCCCTCTACTCCTCCTGCTCCTACCTCTCCTCATCCCCCTCCCCTCTCCCCTCGTCCCCCTCCCCTCTCCCCGCATGTATGACGTGTGTGCAGGTGTGTGCAGGTGAGTGAAGGTTTGCACAGGTGTGAAAGACACCCTCTTTACCTGAGCAGTGCATGAAGGCTCAACACACGGACGGTCCCTGTTAAAAAAACTATGTGCTCTTTCTTTAGGTTGTTTTTGAGAGTTCTCAAAAACAACCCGGAGGGTCCCTGTTTAGAAATGTCTTTGCTCGTTCTTTACTTGACTGAAAATCACCTCTAACAATGTGCATAAGTGGTTATAACAGTACGCACTGACGCCACTTTTTTCTGGTCTCTTATCTTAATCTTAAATGTATGCAGCTCGCTCGCTCCAGCCCATACTCAACCCATGATGCCAACCCAACCTTTGTGTGTTCCACTCCTGCTCTGGCAGCATTCTTAGCTGTCCCCGTCTCGCCGTCTCTCAGCAGCCGCTACAGCCCGCAGTTTGTAGCGCAGCAGAGCTCAGTCCGTTTCTCCCATCCTCTACCCCCACTTCCTTTTTTGCCCTGGTTATCGTCCAACCCAACCCTTCTTTTCCAGCTGTGGCTGCATTTTGAGCTCACCAACCGATCGGTCCTTGTGTCGCCGTCTCTCAGCGGACGCTACAGCCTGCCGTTTGTAGCGCAGCAGAGCCAGCTGAAGACCGGGCGGCAGGCCACGGGCGGGCGGCAACTGGGCGGCTATGTGCCGGTGGCGCCTGTGATGGTGGACTCGTATAGTGACAAGATAGCAGGCAGCCAGGTGTGTGTGCGCGCAATGAGCTGATGAGCCAAACACGCTTGTTGATCTGCCTTTTGATAGCCAGCGGTTTGTACAGGCGGCTATGTGCCGGTGGCACCTGTGATGGTGGACTCGTATAGAGACAAGATAGCAGGCAGCCAGGTGTGTGTGCGCGCAATGAGCTGATGAGCCAAAGACCCTTGTTGATCTGCCTTTTGATAGCCAGCGGTTTGTACAGGCGGCTATGTGCCGGTGGCGCCTGTGATGGTGGACTCGTATAGTGACAAGATAGCAGGCAGCCAGGTGTGTGTGCGCGCAATGAGCTGATGAGCCAAACACGCTTGTTGATCTGCCTTTTGATAGCCAGCGGTTTGTACAGGCGGCTATGTGCCGGTGGCGCCTGTGATGGTGGACTCGTATAGTGTCAAGATAGCAGGCAGCCAGGTGTGTGTGCGCGCAATGAGCTGATGAGCCAAACACGCTTGTTGATCTGCCTTTTGATAGCCAGCGGTTTGTACAGGCGGCTATGTGCCGGTGGCGCCTGTGATGGTGGACTCGTATAGAGACAAGATAGCAGGCAGCCAGGTGTGTGTGCGTGACAAGCTATTGAACAGCCAATCTACAGTGCCGGTGAATTTTGCAATGCACACCTGCTCTCCTGCTCTGAAATGTCCTCTAAGAATTCCGTCTATTCACGTCAGTGCTGAAAGAAAAACCTCTTACTGTGCCCTCCTTGGGTTGCTACCCAATGCCCACGGGGTCCCTTCCTTTTTCCCCTCTATTTATTTGCTACCCCCAGGTGCCAGCGTTGGTGGTGAATGGTGGTGAACGGTGCAGACTGGTACAACGCCCACTGGGCTCCTTCCTCTTGTCTCTTTATTACTGTGCTTCTCACAGGTGCCAGCACTGGTGGTGAACGGTGCAGAGTGGTACAACACCCACTGGTTCCCTTTCTCTTGTCTCTTTATTACTGTGCTTCTCACAGGTGCCAGCGTTGGTGATGAATGGGGAGAGGGATCACCCCGACAGGGCGCAGCACCTTGCAAGCCTCTTTCTCAACCACAAGCTGGTACGGCTGGAATTGTCTTCTACTGGTCGATTCTTAAAAACTTCCAAACGTTTCAAAGCAGTGGGACTACATGGAGCATCCTGCTTACAGTGCCGTATCCGGAGAAATGAAATTGTTTGATGTGTGTTGTCGCGCCTTTTCCTTACCTTCATCTCACGGGTGATGTTCAAAGGAGCAGGCCATGCATGCTATGTGGAGCATCCTGAGCACTCCAACAGCCTTTAGGGGCAATTTGTGCAACAATGGACCGTCCCAACCCGATGGAATTTACCTCTGTGTGTATTCTCCCCTGCAATAATCTCAGGTGATTTTTAAAGGGGCGGGCCACGCATGCTACATGGAGCAGCCTGATTACTTCAACAGCCTTGTGCTGCAATTCGTGCAACAGTTGACTGTCCCAACCGAATTTCAGTAGTTCTGAGCTGAGAGCCGAACCACGCTGAACATTTGAAGTATTTAGTGCCAGTAAGCAATTTTTTGCTTTCCGGCATTTTGTGGGGGGTGGGAAAAGGGGGGGGGGGGGGTGAGGGGATTGCAACAAGTATATTTCATGAGCCTTGTATTTAAGGAGGGATAGGTGGATGAACAGGGAGCTTATACGGAGTCGTACTGTGAACCATTTGTAGGCCTAATTCAACAAATCAATCCAGTATCAGCAAATTATAAAAATAAGGGTGAAGATTACCATCTCGCCCTTTCTGCTGGTGGTGATAAGCCTCAAGTCTGATGTTAATTAAGGTATGTAGGGATGCTCATAATCAGTCATTCTCAAACCAAGAGATACAGTTCCCTTCCCAGCGGTCTCGGTATATCATAGCATGTTAAAGCCCGAGGTCAGCATGGTTTTTGCAACAGTGACGCGGGGGCTTTAAGTGAGTTCGCGAAAGGCATAAAAAAAACATTTCGAGAGCTGAACAGGTGCGAAAGCGAAACCAGGCAGCGACGAGCTTCAGCATTCGTCACCCAACTGTGCGACACTGCACCACGAGTTTGGTGCTTGGAGGGGGTTAGAAAGTGAAGCCATGTGTGTAGATTGGTTTGAAAATGCACGCTACTCGTCGCCGTCGCCTATGTTGACTCAACTCCGTCGCCCACGCGACCATTCTCGCGTCAATGTCTCACACTTCCCTCCATCGCCATAGCTCACTCCCTCTCATCGCCCTCGCGCACTCCCCTCCCGTCGCCTTCGCGCACTTCCCTCCCGTCGCCTTCGCGCACACCCGTCCCGTCGCCTTCGCGCACTCCCCTCCCATCGCATTCGCGCACTCCCCTCCCGTCGCCTTCGCGCACTCCCCTCCCGTCGCCTTCGCGCACTCCCCTCCAAAGAGGATGATCACTCCCTCCCGTCGCCCACGCTTCCTTCCTGACGCACGATCACGCTCCCTCCCCTCCCGTCGCCTTTGCGCGACGCCTCTTTCGCCCCTCCTCACTCTCTTCCGTCGCCCACGCTCACTCCCCTCCCGTCGCCCACGCTCACTCCCCTCCCATCGCTCATGCTCATTCCCCTTACGTCATGTACGCGCACACCCATCCGTCACTACTACCGCTCCCTCCCTCCCGTCGCCCACGCTCCCTCCCCTCTAACGAGAATGGGGACTCCCCGTGCCTTGCAACTCTCCTTCCTCCTGCTACGCCACACCCCACACTCTCGTCTCCCCATCCCTCATCTCCCCTTCCCTCGTCTCCCCATCCCTCATCTCCCCTTCCCTCGTCTCCCTATCCCTCATCTCCCCTTCCCTCGTCTCCCCATCCCTCGTCTCCCCATCCCTCATCTCCCCATCCCTCACCTCCTCATCTCTCATCTCCCCATCCCTCATCTCCGCATCCCTCATCTCCCCATCCCGCATATCCCCATCCCTCATCTCCCCTTCCCTCACCTCCCCATCCCTCATCTCCCAATCCCGCATCTCCCCATCCCGCATCTCCCCATCCCTCATCTCCCCATCCCTCATCTCCCCATCCCTCACCTCCCCATCTCTCACCTCCCCATCCCTCATCTCCCCATCCCTCACCTCCCCATCTCTCACCTCCCCATCCCTCACCTCCCCATCTCTCACCTCCCCATCCCTCATCTCCCCATCCCTCACCTCCCCATCTCTCACCTCCCCATCCCTCACCTCCCCATCTCTCACCTCCCCATCCCTCATCTCCCCATGCCTCACCTCTCCATCGCTCATCCATCCATCCCTCATCTCCCCATGCCTCACCCCATCTCCGCCGCACCCCGTGGCATCGTCACACGTCGCCATTTCCCACCTCTTCCTACTTCCCATCCCCCTCTTCCGCCCTTCCTCCCCCCTTCTCTCAATCCCTTCCTCTCGCCCTGCCATCCTACTTCCCATCCCCCTTTCCTCGTTTCCCCAGACCTCCTTTCCCCATCCCGTCATTCACTCTCCCTCCGTTCCCCATCCTTCCATTCCCCATGCCTACTTTCACCATTCCACCATACCCCATTCACCATACTCCTAACCCCATCTCCTCCTCACCCCATCTCCTCCTATACACATCCGCTTCTTTCCCCTTCCCTCGTCACCGCGTCCCCTCCTCTCCCCATCCCCTCCTCTCACCATCCCCTCTTCTCCCCACCCCCTCCCGTCCTCTCCCCATCCGCCCATCCCACCTCACCACTTCCCTCCTCTTCCCATCCATCCTCTCCTCATCCCTCCCCATCCGTCCTTTCCCCATCCGATCCTCTCACCCTCCCCTGCAAGTGTTTCCCACACCGCCCTCGGCCCAGCGGCACCTCTTCATCCCTTGTGCTTTTCTGCACCAGGGAGCTGCTTGGGGCGCTGTGGGTGGATGGCGGTGGGCAGAGTCACACAGCATAGGCAGACGTGGTGCTGCATGTCCTCCCTTTCCCCCGTCCTCCCTCCCCATCCATCCTTCCCTTCCTCTGTTCCTCTCTTCCTCCATACGTCCCTTCCTCCGTTTCTCTGTCCCTCTTTTCCCCTGGTCGTCCTTCTGTTTGTCTCCTACCGTTCCAGGAGTGTCTTTTTATTTCTTCCTCTTCGTGTTGCTTCCTTGTCAGTTGTCATTCTTTTGTATGCTTACCGGCTGGAATGTTGGTTGTTTGATAGTACCCCTAGGTATGATACATGGCTGTGGGAATGTTGTATGCTTATTATGATAACTAAATTTTGATGCATGGAGTAGAGTGACCATTGACCACCTACGAAGTGCAACAATCTAGTAAAAAAAGAACCAAGTTAATAATATGTCTTTTCCCACTCTTGTCTGCATACACAGCAGCAAAAAAGCAGGACTTGTGGGTCCCTCCCTACACCTGGTGCTGGGGACCTGTACAGAATGAGCAGGAAAAAACAGAGTGCAGGGGAGACATTGAGCAGGGGGGAAAGAGAGTGAGGAGGGGGGGAGAGAGTGAGAAGGGGGGAAAGGGAGTGAGCAGGGGGAAAGAGGGTGGGCATGGGGGAAGGGAGTGAACAGGGGGGGAACAGAATGAGCAGGGGGAAACAGAATGAGCAAGGGGAAAGAGAATGAGCAGCGGGGAAGAGAATGAGCAATGGGGAAAGAGAGTGAGCAGGGGGAAAGAGAATGAGCAATGGGAAAACCGAGTGAGCAAGGGGGAAACGGAGTGAGGAGGTGAGAAGAGAGAGAGCAAGGGGGGAGAGAGCAGGGGGGAATAGAGCAGGGGGGAATAGAGGAGGGGGGAATAGAGCAGGGGGGAACAGAGCAGGGGGGAATAGAGCAGGGGGGAATAGAGCAGGGGGGAATAGAGGAGGGGGGAATAGAGCAGGGGGGAACAGAGCAGGGGGGAATAGAGGAGGGGGGAATAGAGCAGGGGGGAATAGAGCAGGGGGGAATAGAGGAGGGGGGAATAGAGCAGGGGGGTATTGAGCAGGGGGGAACAGAGCAGGGGGGAATAGAGCAGGGGGAAATATAGCAGGGGGGAACAGAGCAGGGGGGAATAGAGCAGGGGGGAATAGAGCAGGGGGGAATAGAGCAGGGGGGAATAGAGGAGGGGGGGATAGAGCAGGGGGGAACAGAGCAGGGGGGAATAGAGCAGGGGGGAATATAGCAGGGGGGAATATAGCAGGGGGGAACAGAGCAGGGGGGTATTGAGCAGGGGGGAATAGAGCAGGGGGGAATAGAGCAGGGGGGTATTGAGCAGGGGGGAACAGAGCAGGGGGGAATAGAGCAGGGGGGAATATAGCAGGGGGGAATAGAGCAAGGGGGAATAGAGCAGGGGGGAATATAGCAGGGGGGAATAGAGCAGGGGGGGAATAGAGCAGGGGGGAATAGAGCAGGGGGGAATAGAGCAGGGGGGAATAGAGCGGGGGGGAATAGAGCAGGGGGGAACAGAACAGGGGGGATTAGAGTGAGGAGGAGAGAGTGAGCAGGGTGGAACAGAGCAGGGGGGATAGAGCAGGGGGGAATAGAGTGAGGAGGAGAGAGTGAGCCGGGGGAAACAGAGTGAGGAAGGGGGGGCAGAGTGAGAAAGGGGGAAGAGAGTGAGCAGGAGGGATGCGAGTGAGCAGGGGGAAAGCGAGGTCGACGGGAGGGGGAGAGCGAGGGCGACGGGAGGGGGAAAGCGATGGAAACGGGAGGGGGAAAAGCACGGAAGGGGATGGGGGGAAGCAGGGAGGGGGATGGGGGCAAGCAGGGAAGGGAACATGGGGAAGCAGGGAAGGGGACATGGGGAAGCAGGGAAGGGGATGGGGGAAAGCAGGGAGGGGGATGGGGGGAAGCAAGGAAGGGGATGGGGGGAAGCAGGGAACGGGATGGGGGGAAGCAGGGAGGGGGATGGGGGGGAAGCAGGGAAGGGGATGGGGGGGAACAGGGAAGGGGATGGGGGGAAGCAGGGAGGGGTATGGGGGGAAGCAGAGAGGGGGATGGGGGGAAGCAGGGAGGGGTATGGGGGGAAGCAGGGAGGGGGATGGGGGGAAGCAGGGACGGAGATGGGGGGAAGAAGGGAAGGAGATGGGGGGAAGCAGGAAAGGGGATTGGGGGAAGCAGGGCAGGGGACATGGGGAAGCAGGGCAGGGGATGAGGGAAGCAGGGAAGGGGACATGGGGAAGCAGGGAAGGGGATGGGGGAAAGCAGGGAAGGGAATGGGGGGGAGCAGGGAAGGGGATGGGGGGAAGCAGGGAGGGGGATGGGGGGGAAGCAGGGAAGGGGATGGGGGGAAGCAGGGAGGGGGATGGGGGGGAAGCAGGGAAGGGGATGGGGGGGAACAGGGAAGGGGATGGGGGGAAGCAGGGAGGGGGATGGGGGGGAAGCAGGGAAGGGGATGGGGGGAAGAAGGGAAGGAGATGGGGGGAAGCAGGGAAGGGGATGGGGGGAAGCAGGGCTGGGGATACGGGGAAAGAATGAAGAGGATGGGGGGAAGCAGGGCAGGGGATGGGGGGAAGCAGGGAAGGGGTATAAGTTGGGGGAAGGAAGGCGATTATTGGAGGGAGGGAAAAGAGGGAGTAGGGAGAGAAAAGGGAGGGTGACAAGTGTGCGAGATGGGAAGGGAGACGGGAGGGAAGGCGAGGGCGACGGGGAGTGGATGGCAGGGCGACGGGGAAAGCGAGGGCGACGGGAAGGGAGGGCGACGGGAAGGGAGGGCGACGGGAAGGGAGGGCGACGGGAAGGGAGGGCGACGGGAAGAAGCGCGGACGACGGGAAGGGAAGGCGACGGGAAGGGAGGGCGACGGGAAGAAGCGCGGGCGACGGGAAGGGAGGGCGACGGGAAGGGAGGGCGACGGGAAGGGAGGGCGACGGGAACAAGGGTGGGCGACGGACGGAAGGCAGGGCGACGAGGGGGAAAGAAGGGCGACGGGCGGAAGGGAGAGCGACGGCGGAAGGGAGAGCAACAGTCGGAAGGGATATACTTGACCCTCGACCGTGCGACCGTCTAGATGCGCAACCCGGGTTAGACGCCGGGGGGGTGGATGGAATTGTGACGTGCAGGCACGTGTTGGCGTCGCGCGAGTAACTATATCCGGTTGGGTGCGCACCGCACACGCATGTGAGCTCTCTAGTTATTGTATAAATGGGACATCTCCGACTGGTTTTATGATTGGCTGTTCGTATTTGCCACCAAATAAGCTGCTGTACTGATACAGCTGCTACGGAGAAAAGGAGTGATACGGAGAAAGTTTGGGCGTGAAAAACGGGTGAACTAAGTAAACGTAGGCTGTCAATGTGCCTGCCATTTAGTACAACATGGTTTTCAAGTTTACTGAAAGTGAACAGTGCTCCATTGCCCTCCGACCCTTTACTCGGAATGACTGGTTTTGTCGCTGGCCAATCATGGAACAGCGTCGCAAAACCTCCCCGCTGGATCGCGACGGATATCCTCCACTTCGGGTGGTAACATGGTTTTTTGCGAATTCATATTCAGGAATCTTGAACTTGAAAACTGCCATGTAGAACTCGGGCTTTAAAACGAGCAAATTACACGGAGTTTTCTTTACTCTCGGGAAGCGAAGCCGCCTGGTTGGGTTCGCGGCGCTGACAGCGCAACGGATCTCTCAACATGATGGGCTTGGCAGCCAATCGTGCCGCTGTGATTGGTCCCAAAGCAAGCATGAACACGAACCCGCTGTCAAACTCCACCAGACCGGACCTCCCTTCTTGAACGGTGGCATCGCTGAAGCTGATGCTGTGCTGCACACAGTAAAACTGAAGTTTTACTGGTACACATCGGTTCGGGGGCACCGCAAAAGTTTGCGATGGCTGCCGGTCCCTAGTCCGTGAGGCTGCTGGAAACGAAGCTGTTTTTTACCTCATGGTAACCCTGACAACCGGTGGTTCGGCTCCGATGTTTTTTCGTTCGGGACCTGGTCCGGACCAAGCCTCGTGCGCCCCTTACCAGTTGTGGATGGATGTCACGCTCTTCTGCCCAGACCAGAACCTGTTGCTAACAACGGTCATGTAAATGCTACATCTGTTGGTTTTCTGGTGAAGATTTATCTTGCAGCGTCGGTGTTTGTTGATGGTGGCATCGTCAGTGCCGCTCTGTGATAGTTCGTGACGCTTTGCTTGAAACCTGCTGGATGAGTTATTATGAATTTGAAGTAGTTGTCCCGAGGTTGATACAGGCAGCGACGAGTTTTCTAAAGTATTAAAGGCGAGTCCTAGAAGTGGGGGTCCTGAAGACCGAGACAACGTTTCTTTGAGAGGCAGAAGTTTGAAAAGTGTGTCTCCGGGATCTCCAGACGCGTACCAGAAGCCAGGAAATCCGGTTCGACGATCATTTCCTAACTCGTTGTTTCGCCTGGCAGAAGAAGATCGAAACGAGACCAGTGCCGCCATGGAACGTTGCAAATGTGGTGCTGTGGTGGGCTTGGATGGCAAAGGAAAGCAGCAACCTCGAGGATTCGGCAAGTGTCTACGCCTGCTAATCTTCCTCGGGATATTAGCAATTGCCGGGATCTTCGTGTATCGTACGATGTTAGCTTATCCTGATTACCAGTTTTCGTCTTCGGTCGCTCCGATGGAAGATGTATTTAAGTCGAGCGATTGCAGCGACACGGACGCTTACGAGCAAAGGATGCTCCAAGACTCAGAGAAGGCATACATGGTAAGCCCGAAACAGATTCTAAGATTGAACTTGTTAACCGTTGTTCACATTTTATTGATTTGCCTAATAAAAAAACGCAAGTTTAGCTCAATTCTTCAAGATAGACATTATATCATAATCACTGATTCTGACGTCGATTATCACCATTGCGGCCTGGGGGGTTTTCGTCGCAGGAAGCTACGGCGGTGCTGGCGGAGGCGTTCGGCGGGGCGACGCAGCCGCGGGACGTGGAGGTGAAGCGCATGTGGGACTTCATCTTCGTCCCCACGTACCCGTGCCCGCGCGAGCGACGCATCGGCCGCGCTGGCGACGGCGGGAAGGTGAGTCGTTACTGTCACATTGGTTTTTGAGTTGAGCCGTTACTATCGAATTGGTTAAATGCTGAGCCGTTACTGTCGCATTGGTCTTAAGTTACGCCGTTACTCTCACATTGATTTCAAGACGAGCCGTTACTGTCACATTGGTCTTAAGGTAAGCCGTTACTGTCACATTCGTTTCAAGACGAGCCGTTACTGTGGCCTCAAGGTGAGCCATTACTGTCACCTTCACTTAAGAGCCGAGTATTATTGCTGTTGATGCTATCCCTTATCCGCTCCATGGCGGATCAGACGGCAGCGCCGGACGGACTTTACATTGTTGTGCGAATTCACTGACAAGAATAGGCTTCTCAGCACGAGAGACAATCTTTATCCAGGTTCAATGTCTCAACCCTCCTTCCCCTGATTCTTCAAGCCTCTGTCCTTCCTCGTCGTCTCCTGCACATTCATCCTGGCTCCGTCTCTGTCTCTCTTTGTGTCGGCCTGTCATGTCCGAATGTAGATTTGTCTCGCGCTCCCTAATCATGTCTTTTTCTTCCTTCTTCCCTCGTGTCACCTAGTCACTCTGCCAGCACTCGTCCTCCTCCAATCCCTCTCTTCCACTGCGGCCTCCCTTCCTTCCCTTGCGGCCTCGCTTCTTCCCCCACAGCCCCCCTACTTTATGGAGTTTTGTCATGAACTCGCTCGTTTCTCTCGAGCGTGCTATTCCCCCACTCACTCCTCCCCCACTCACCTCTCACGTTTCAACTCTGGTTCGTCACCTCGCCTCTCGTTTCTCTCCTTCCCTCTATCCCTTCCTCTGCCCGCGGCCTGTCTGCACAGTGGACTTGCATCCTGAAGGCGTTCTTTGCCAAGCCTAAGATCACTGTCTTCAGGTGAGGAGACCGAATCAGCTATTACCTTTTCTGGAGAAGTAGTGCAGACCAAGGATCACACTGGTTTCAGTCATAGTGTGGCTTGCAAATGTGCGGTTTACTATGGAACTCTTGTGAAGCAAATTTGGAGTTCTAATCGGTTGGATTCAAAATGAGAAGTTTTTACCGGGTCCGTATGTTCATCCTTCCCTTCCTTCAACCCCCGTTGATTCCTTCCCGTCATCTTCATTAGAAATCTGTCGAGAGTATGATCCACCTCTAGCCCTCAGCACCCCTTCCCTGAATCCTCCCCATCCGTCCCTCATACCTCTCCTTGCTGCCTTGGCAGCCACATAGACTCCAGCCTCGGAAGCGCCATGCTGAAGTATTTCATCCTGGTTGCTTCTGCCCTTACCTACCACCCATTGTAATTTTCCCCAACCGTACCCCACGCCTGACCTTCTTGCAGCATCGGCAGCCATGGAGATCCCAGCTTCGAGCAAGCCGTGCAGAAAATAATCCACGCCAAGCCCTACACCTTCGACCCCTTCCTGAACGCATCCACGCTCGCGGAGATGCAATCCCAGCCGTTCATGCGCTTCCGCAACGCAGGCCTCGTGGGGTCGCGGACCAAGGCAAACGCGACGCGGCACTTCCCGGGTGTGACGTTTGTGACGCTAGAGGAGGGCATGCAGCAGGCGGGGAGGGATTATATTGATATATTCAAGATTGACTGCGAGGGATGCGAGTACCCCGTGCTGGATGACCTTATGGAGCGCTACACTGCCAGGCGGAACCCTCCCATTGGCCAGCTTCTCGTCGAATTCCACGGGTGTGTTTGCTTTTCTGTTTTTTTTTTTTTTTTTTTTTGGTCTATAAATTGTAGTGTACTAAACCCCGCAGTCAATGGGATCCCTTTTGGCCTGTTTCGAGCCTCAAGACTAGGTACCGATCGTTAGGGCCTTCAATCTGGTTCTCCTTTCACTCACCCTTCCACACACCTCTCCGTCTCACTTTCCTCCCCACCAATCAAACCACACTGCTCCTGGTGAGAAAGTGTTCTCATTTCTTAAAAGTCGTCTCAGTGCAAGCACACCGTATCTAGTCGATAAGCATTCTCACGGCATTCAGAACTGGCCGTAAACTCAGGCTCGTTTCACTTTTCGAGTAGGCTCAAGCACTTGCCCTCTTGTATCATCCCCCCCTCTCATTCCCTTCCTCCTATCCACTCTACACCTGTATACATATGTACCGTAGTTTCTGCTCCTTACTGTATCTCTGTCCCTCTGTCCCTTCTTTCCTTCTCTCCCCCCCCCGTTCCGTGCATCTCCCTGCAGGGCAAGCACTCAAGCGGTAATGGAGAAGTATTTCTACGGAATTCAGAACATGGGTTTCCGCTTATTTCATGTGGAAAGAAATGCATACTTTCCAAACTTTTGTGCAGAGTTTTCCTTCATCCATGAGAGTTTGCTGCCAGTAGAAAAAGACGATGGAATCACTTACTAGTAAAAACGTAATCAGGTGTGGGGCACTGGATTGTTGGGTTTCTTTTCCTCCTACTTGATAACGCCAATGCTATTAAAAAAAAAGGCTACCTTAGTTTCAAGCCGATTTGATTTATGTGCTGTGTAGTCGTACATCTGTATGAAACACATTATGTTGTGATACCGGTGGTTACCTTCGTGTTTCAAGGAATTTTCTCGATATTCCTTAGCGCGCCCTGCAACATCGCGTACAGCAGCAGCCGTTGTTCGCCCGTTACTGCTAACGGGGCTTCGCCGACTTCGCGCGCACTGTTTTCCCAAACCTCGCACTGCTGGACCGGCCGTGTCGGCCTACGCTTCGGGACTAGCCCGAGCCTCGCTTCCAACGTAGCACTAGCTAGCTCGCACGCACCGTGTTACCGTTTGCATGTTTCGCATATAAATGTTTGCTCATGCCTTCGCTCACACTTTCTACTCGTTTGACACCTTAGTGCAATTCTCGCTACTTCGATTCATTGCACCCGTAACACTTGGTATTCAGAGCCTCTTTCTTTTCGGACCGCGCATCTCCGCACCCCAGGAAATCAACTTTTGATTTTTCACTCGAAGGGACTCACGCAGCTTAGCCTCTAGGAGACGCTCAGGCCCTCAGATTGGTTTCAGGGCATGCTGATCGATCAGTGTGCAGTGTCCAAAGTGGTGTCCAAATCAGCCTTGGGGGTTAAATTTATGCTGATTTTCTCAGTGTAAATTTTCAAGGCAAGCTGAAGCATCAGTCTTAGGGTACATTCCTGTGGGGACACTTGTGTCTCAATCACTTTGTGACACCCAAAAACAACATAAACTGTGTTGTGTCCCAAATGCGAATCGGCTTTCGGCGACTTGTACTGTATTTATTATTGGTCAGCGTGAAACGCGCTGGCATCGCTGTCGAATTGTGAAACGACCCGTCATTGTTAAAGAATCGCACGCGACTCGAAATGCCCGACACGACCACATGCACCTGGACATCCGAAAATGCCAATTTTGCGAGGGAAAAGATCCCGCGCATCGAAACCACGCCCCTGCTCGGAGGTTGAAAATACGGGTGTACTGTCACCCAGTCAAATGCACACACCTGTACATCTCTTTTTGATCCCCGCCAGTGAAACGTGTCCAACTGAACCTGCCAATATGTCGCCCTACATCGCGGTACATTCGATGTTTGTGACACAACATTGGGAAAATTAACAGGCGCGACTCGGGAAAACGGGGATTGAGACACAAGTGTCCCCACAGGAATGCACCCTTAGAGTAATAACTGCGCGTTCAGAACGGTGTTGGTGGCGTAGTTGTTTGTGTTATGTCATGCAATCGCCAAGGTATCGGGGTTGATTCCCGTAGACGAGAACTGCTTGAGTGGGCCGCGAG